AATCAGAAGAACTTCAGCAAAATCCTAATAATGGATGTGGGAACACTTTACAGAGAAAATATTTGCCTAGCTACAAGTTTTCAGTTTCCAAACTCAAATTTCCATACTCTAAATTTGGAGTCATGTCTCTCGGTGTCTCTCAACATCCCCCCCACCTCCCCAACACACACACACCTGGTACAATAAAACATAAATGGATCCCATAGAAAATGGCACATCTTAATCTTAAACAATTTTCTTAAATTAATGCAGTTTGCTTAAAATGTGGCTCTAGTATGCCTGCGAAAAAGGCAGCTTCTTATCCGTCAGAGCCCTCTGTATGTTCAGAGTCCAAATTGGTTAGTCTCTAAGGTGCCACAAGTACTCCTTTTCTTTTTGCCACAGTATGCATCCGATGAAGTGAGCTGTAGCTCACGAAAGCTTATGCTCAAATAAATTGGTTAGTCTCTAAGGTGCCACAAGTACTCCTTTTCTTTTTGCAAATACAGACTAACACGGCTATTACTCTGAAACCTGTCCTACTAACTGTTTTTTTTTCCACTAACATGAGCCCTGGATAATCAGCTGTGAGCTAAAACAGAGTTAGTTGGATTCAAATCCTTCTGTGCATCATCCTAAATTTCAATCGGTTTTCCCTGTGCAAAATACTGGAGCTGCACAGGTGTCATGACCTACAGAGCTAGTGGTGATGTGTAAGAAAAGAACCCAGCTTGACTCTCAGATCTCAGTTGGAGTAGGACAAATGTAGGAAAAACACATATTTATTTAATTTTGCAAACTGGGCTCCTTTGATCTGGAGTCACTGAGAGAACAAACAAGCCCTGTAATACTATTTTACAGAGTCACTTTTCAGAGCAGACTCACACTTTAACTATTTTCCCAGTATAAATACATTGCAGTCCACTGAAATACAAAGCTACGGTCCAGGTTTACTACCATTCCCTTTTTCCCCATTTGAAAGTACCTAACCACCAGGGTTCTCATTGCCCCACCCCCAAAGCAGTTCGGGAGGTTGCAGGACCTCTTCTACTGGGACAACCGGCGGGAGAGCTATTATTAACCATGAGCTGCAGCTCGGACCCATATACATGCAGCACTACCAGGCCTACCACATGAAGGTAAATCACTACTGCTACCTTAGGTATTTTTTGAACAGCCTCGATGGTGATGAGAAATACGTCAAACTGTTGCTTAAACCAATACTATTTTGCTGTGTAATTCAGAAGTCACGTCTGTCAGGAGAGAAAGAGCTGCCACTTTTATTAACAGCTTAAGCACTCAGCTCTATCTGAGTCTGCTCAGACTTTTGGAAAAATCTCAATCGCATTGGACATGCTCAGAGAATTAGTATAGTCAACCCATACTTTCAACAAACCTCACCTTACAACAAATAATAGTATTTTGGTTCAGATGTAAGAAAAAAGTGTGTGTGTGTTGGGGATATTTGCATGGCCCCTTGCACGGTAACTCCTTTATTTGTAATTTGATATCTCTATTTACAAAAACTGAGGAGAGTTTAATGGAGGGGCTGGTAGCATTTTTGTTGGATTGTGTTGGGGATATTGAAACTAACCCTGAAAATGCTGAATGCCACATGTGATATACTAACCACCCCTAATCCACACTATTAATTAGAGTTGCAGATATTCAGCACCACACACAAGGACCTCAGCATCTGATAGGATCAGGGCCATTGAGAATAGGATTATCTATACAACCGGTAAAGCAAAGTAACAGTTTCTGTTCAGAGCTGAGGGAAGCTATGGTCAAGCTGTCAGTAACATGTACACACCTCTTTTTTCTTTTATATTGAGCTTTTACATTGCAAAATGAGCAACAGAAACAGAATGACAGAATGACAATAACATCCTGGAGGAACTAGAGTTACTGGTGCAGGAAGTGAAACCAGATATTATAGGTATAACAGAGACCTGGTGGAAAGTAGTCATGACGGGCACAGGTTTGAAGGGTATGTGCTGTTTAGGAAAGACCGAAATAAAGGTAAAGGTGGTGGAGTAGCACTGTATATCAATGATGAGATAGAATGTAAAGAAATAAGAAGCGATGAAATGGTTATGACTGAGTCTGTCTGGGCAACAATTAAATTGGGGAAGAAAACTATTAGAGCCTCCCCTGGGATAGTGCTTGGGGTGTGCTATAGACCGCCGGGATCTAATTTGGATATGGATAGAGCCCTTTTAATGTTTTTAATAAAGTAAATACTAATGGAAACTGTGTGATCATGGGAGACTTTAACTTCCCAGATATAGACTGGAGGCGAGTGCTAGTAATAATAATAGGGCTCAGATTTTCCTAGATGCGATAGCTGATGGATTCCTTCAGCAAGTAGTTGCTGAACCGACTAGAGGGGATGCCATTTTAGATTTGGTCTTGGTGAGTAATGAGGACCTCATAGAGGAAATGGTTGTAGGGGATAATCTTGGCTCAAGTGATCATGAGCTAATTCAGTTCAAACTGAATGGAAGGATTAACAAAAATAAATCTGCAACTAGGGTTTTTGATTTCAAAAGGGCTGACTTTCAAAAATTAAGGAAATTAGTTAGGGAAGTGGATTGGACTGAAGAATTTATGGGTTTAAAGGTAGAGGAGGCCTGGGATTATTTTAAATTAAAGCTGCAGAAGCTATCGGAAGCCTGCATCCCAAGAAAGGGGAAAAAATTCATAGGCAGGAGTTGTAGACCAAGCTGGATGAGCAAGCATCTTAGAGAGGTAATTAAGAAAAAGCAGAAAGCAATAGGGAGTGGAAGAAGGGAGGGATCAGTAAGGAAAGCTACCTTATTGAGGTCAGAATATGTAGGGATAAAGTGAGACAGGCTAAAAGTCAAGTAGAGTTGGACCTTGCAAAGGGAATTAAAACCAATAGAAAAGGTTCTATAGTCATATAAATAGGAAGAAAACAAAGAAAGAAGAAGTGGGACCCTAAAAACTGAGGATGGAGTGGAGGTCAAGGATAATCTAGGCATGCCCAATATCTAAACAAATACTTTGCCTCAGTCTTTAATAAGACTAAAGAGGATCTTAGGGATAATGGTAGCATGATAAATGGGAATGAGGATATGGAGGTAGACATCACCATATCTGAGGTAGAAGCGAAACTCAAACAGCTTAATGGGACTAAATCGGGGGCCCAGATAATCTTCATCCAAGAATATTAAAAGAATTGGCACAAGAAATTGCAAGCCCATTAGCAAGAATTTTTAATGAATCTGTAAACTCAGGGGTTGTACCGTATGATTGGAGAATTGCTAACATAGTTCCTATTTTTAAGAAAGGGAAAAAAAGTGATCCAAGTAATTATAGGCCTGTTAGTTTGACATCTGTAGTATGCAAGGTCTTGGAAAAAATTTTGAAGGAGAAGGTAGTTAAGGACATTGAAGTCAATGGTAAATGGGACAAAATACAACATGGTTTTACAAAAGGTAGATCGTCCAAACCAACCTGATCTCCTTCTTTGAGAGAGTAACAGATTTTTAGATAAAGGAAACGCAGTGGATCTAATTTACTTAGATTTTAGTAAGGCGTTTGATACTGTGACATGGGGAATTATTAGTTAAATTGGATAAGATGGGCATCAATAGGAAAATTGAAAGGTGGATAGGGAATTGGTTAAAGGGGAGACTACAACGGGTCCTACTGAAAGGTGAACTGTCAAGTTGGAGGGAGGTTACCAGTGGAGTTCCTCAAGGATCAGTTTTGGGACCAATCTTATTTAATCTTTTATTACTGACCTGGGCACAAAAAGTGGGAGTGTGCTAATAAAGTTTGCAGATGATACAAAGCTGGGAGGTATTGCTAATTTAGAGAAGGACAGGGATACCCTACAGGAGGATCTGGATGACCTTGTAAACTGGAGTAATAGGAATAGGATGAAATTTAATAGTGAGAAGTGTAAGGTCATGCATTTAGGGATTAATAACAAGAATTTTAGTTATAAGCTAGGGACGCATCAACTAGAAGTAACGGAGGAGGAAAAGGACTTGGAGTATTGGTTGATCATAGGATGACTATGAGCTGAATGTGATATGGCTGTGAAAAAAGCTAATGTCATCTTGGGATGCATCAGGAGAGGTATTTCCAGTAGGGATAAGGAGGTTTTAGTACCATTATATAAGGCACTGGTGAGACCTCACCTGGAATACTGTGTGCAGTTCTGGTCTCCCATGTTTAAGAAGGATGAATTCAAACTGGAACAGGTAAGAGAAGGGCTACTGGGATGATCCGAGGAATGGAAAACTTGTCTTATGAAAGGAGACTCAGGGAGCTTGGTTGTTTAGCCTAACTAAAAGAAGGTTGAGGGGAGATATGATTGCTCTCTATAAATATATCAGAGGGATAAATACCAGAGAGGGAGAGGAATTATTTAAACTCAGTAAATGTGGACACAAGAACAAATGGATATAAACTGCCACTAGAAATTTAGATTAGAAATTAGAGAAGGTTTCTAACCATCAGAGGAGTGAAGTTTTGGAATAGCTTCCGAGGGAAGTAGTGGGGGCAAAAGATCTATCTTGCTTTAAGATTAAACTCGATAAGTTTATGGAGGAGATGGTATGATGGGATAACATGGTTTTGGTAATTAAATATTCATGGTAAATAGGCCAATGGTGTGATGGGTTTTTAGATGGGGTAAGATCCAAGTTACCCGGGAAAGAATTTTCTGTAGTATCTGGCTGATGAATCTTGCCCATATGCTCAGGGTTTAGCTGATCGCCATATTTGGGGTCGGGAAGGAATTTTCCTCCAGGGCAGATTGGAAGGCCCTGGAGGTTTCGTTCCTCTGTAGCATGGGGAGGTATTGCTGGAGGATTCTCTGCTCCTTGAGGTCTTCAAACTACAATTTGAGGACTTCAATAGCACAGATATAGATGTGAGGTCTTTTTTAGGAGTGGTGGGTGAAATTCTGTGGCCTGCATTGTGCAGGAGGTCAGACTAGATGATCATAATGGTCCCTTCTGGCCTAAATATCTATGAATCTATGAATCATAAAGTAAGCAGCACAGAAGACTCAGTGGCTGAAAATGAAAGGATGAGGTATGTGATTTTGAAGTGAACTGTATCATCACCTTAAACAGAATTTAAGAGGATAAATCACTAATTCAAAAGCCTAAAAAACAAACCTAATCCCTAATCATGTTGATATACTGCACATTTACAGCTATGATCAAGGTTTGTGTGGATGTGAGAAAACATTACTGACAGCAACAATTTTTCAGATCAGGCCACATCACTCCAGTGACCTGATTCAAAGTGTCTAGCTTTCTGACAACATTTGTCCCCATAATCTGGGGACATGGGAGTGAAGAGCATTACCGCACTAGGTACAGCCAGCTATAGAGCAAGCAGACACAACGAAAATGTTTCCATGTAGCTTTGCCAATGCACCTATGTGTGTATTCAAGGTTCTCATATGGCCCTGATTGCTGTATTATCTGAGCACCTCATGATCTTTAATGTATTTTTCCTCACAACCTCTGTGAGGTAGGGAAGTGCTGTTATCTCCATTTTATAGATGGGGAACAGAGGTACAGAGAGACCAAGGGCTACATTTTCAAAGCTACTTAGGCATCTAAAGATGCAGATAGGCACTTCTGAAAAATTCACTAGGTGCCTAAGGCAGAGGTGGGCAAACTATGTCTGTGGGCCACATCCGGCCCGTGGGACCGTCCTGCCCAGCCCTTGAGCTCCCGGCTGGGGAGGCAAGACCCCGGCCCCTCCCCTGCTGTCCCCCATCCCCCACAACCTAAGCTTGCTATGCCACCAGCTCTCTGGGTGGAGGGGCTGTGAGCTCCTGCCGGGCAGTGTGGTGTGTGGCTGGCTCTGGCCTGGTGGCGCGGCTGCTAGTCCTGGTGCTCTGAGCGGCACGGTAAGGGGGCGTGCAGTGGGGGGTTGGATAAGGGGCAGGGGATCCTGAGGGGCAGTCAGGGGACAGGGGGCGGTTGGATGGGGTGGAGGTTCATGGGGGGAGCGGTCAGGAGACAGGGAACAGGGGGCAGTTGGATGGGGTGGAGGTTCTGGAGGGGGGCAGTCAGGGGACAGGGGGGTTGGATAGGCGTGGGAGTCCCGGGGGGCCTGTTAGGGGGCAGGGGTGTGGATAGGGGTTGGGGAAGTCAGGGGACAGGGAGCAGGGGAGTTGGTTAGGGGGTGGGGTCCCGGGGGAATAAGGGGTGGGGGGTCCAGGGAGGGGGCAGTCAGGGGACAAGGACCGGGGGGGTTGGATGGGTCAGGAGTTATGAGGGGGGGCAGTCAGGGGGCGGGAAGCGGGAGGAGGCAGATAGGGAGTGGGGGCCAGGCTATTTGGAGAGGCACAGCCATTCCTACACAGCCCTCCATACAGTTTTGGAACCCCGATGTGGCCCTCAGGCCAAAAAGTTTGCCCACCCCTGGCCTAAGGGTATGTCTACACTGCAGCTGGGAGGTGTGATCCCCAGCATGGGTAGACGGACTTTTGCTAGCTTCACTCAAGCTAGCTTGCTAAAAATAGCAGTGTGTATGTTGCAGCGTAGGTGATGGCTCAGACTAGCCACCTGAGCTCAGACCCAGGGGATCAGGTGGCCATGGATAGCTAGCCAGAACCACCACCAGTGTCATAATGTCCACACTGCTATTTTTAGCATGCTAGCTTGAGCTAAACCAGCGTGTCTGTCTGCCTATGCTGGGAATCACGCTTCCCAGTTGCAGTGTAAACATAACCTAAGGGCTTGGCTGGTAAGTACCCACTGGAAGTCTATATGCATATTTGGGTGCCTAAATATCTTTGGAAATCTGGCCCAAAGTCACACAGGAAACCTGTGCAGGCAGAACAGGTGCTTGAATCTAGGTTTCTTAAGGCCTACACTAGTGCCTTAATCACTGGACCATCCTTCCTCTCTCAGGCTGCCTTCTAAGGCTCTGTCTATAAGAGAAAAGTTTCACCAGTTTAAATGGATTTGTAAAATTGGTAAATTACCAACTCCTATTACACTGGTATATGCCTCCATATTGGGTGTATGCACTGCTTCAGCTAGATCAGTCTAAAATCTATTTAAATGAACTGGTACAATTTTCCCCCTGTAGACAAGACCTTAATCTTAACATTTATGTGCCTCCTGCTGTTATTATTCCAGGCCTATGCCTTTTAGCAACCAAGAATTCTAATCTGGCAAGTTCTGAAGGCATGTTTTGATACAGATAGGCTTCCTAAGGGCTAAGACGAGAACAATCAATGAATTAATTTTCACTTGTGGCTCAAAACAGGACTTGAACTCAAATACCCTGAGATGATGAAAGTTCCTACCTTCTGGGCAGAGGATGGCAAACTACAGCCCATGGGCTGGAACCGGTGTCAGGCTTTCAATCCGGTCAGCGGGACTGCCAGCCCCCTGGCGCAGCAGGACTAAGGCAGGCTCCCTGATTGCCCTGGCCCTGCGCCACTCCCGGAAGCGGCCAGCACCACATCCCTGAGGCTGCTGAGGGGGCAGAGGGGTCCGTGCGCTGCCCTCGCCTTCAGGCACCGCCCCCCACAGCTTCCATTGGCTGGTAATGGGGAACCGCGGCCAATGGGGGCTTCGGGGGTGGTACACACAGGCAAGGCATCACGCGGCAGAGCCACTTGCTCCACCCCACCCCCAGGAGCCCCTGCTGCACATGTTAGCCACTTCCGGGAGCAGTGCGGGGCCAGGGTAGGCAGTAGGAGCCTGCCTTAGCCCTACTATGCGCTGCTGCCACCCCAAAGCCACTCGAGGTAAGTAGCACCAGGCCAGAACCCACATCCCGAGCCCCTCCTGTACCCTGCACCACAACCCCCCTGCCCTGAGCCCCAACCCCCTGCCTGCACCCCAACCCCCTGCCCTAAGCCCCCTCCTGCACCCTGCAACCCCCCTGCACCTCAATCCCTTGCCCTGAGCTCCTTCCTGCACACCGCACCCTCTCCCACACCCCAACTCCCGCCCTACATTCATGGCTCTGCATACAATTTCCCCACGCAGATGTGGCCCTCAGGCCAAAAAGTTTGCCTACCCCTGTTCTAGGGCCATGATTAATCCAAATTAGAGACTCACATTTGACATCCAAAGTATACTAGTTAACTTATCTCCTTCCCCAGTTCTATCACTGCTTTTCCCCCTTTGCCATTTTCGTCATCATTGCAGCACTGCTCAGCATAGTGGCGATCCCCATGGAGACCCTCCTTACCTCATGCAGTCAGATGCAACGTAGGTTTGCCATAGTGGAACAGACCAATGATCCATCAATTTCAGTATCTTGTCTGTGACAGTATCCAATACCTGATGCTTCAGGGAAAGGTAAAAACTCTCGTTCCAAGTCAAAGAACTAGATGCTGATGCTGCAGAAATACCTGCTCCTTATTCCCTTCTTCTTACAGAGGAAATTTTAGGAGCTTCTGTAGAATAAGCTGAGTAGACCCCTTATTATGCAAATAGTCCCACTGGAACTCATGGATTAAGGTACTAATCAACATGAACAAGGGAGGAAGAATCAGGCCCATTTTTAGTAAGTTTCCCTCTCCCTGCTTAACTGGCTCATTCTAACCTACTTCCCTTTGCTCTCTCACCACCATCATCTTCTCACACTGCCCCCCGTCCCCCTTCACAGTACCATGTTCTCTCTCACTAAAACAAAGGTGCATTTTTAGAGTACGTGAGAAAACAACAGAAGAATTTAAAAGAAAAGGGTGGACGGGGCAACATTTTAAGACCATTCTCTTTCTGGTTCTCTCAGGACTGGCTCCAGGTATGTTGGTGCTTCAGGTGAAGACAGGATTTGGTGCCACTGGCTGTGCTCCACAGCTGGGCTGACTGGAAGACAAGAATTCCATTTCACAAAAAATGGCAAGGTTTCAGTAGCTGGTTTTGTTCCACAAAATGAAATGAAATGAAAACTAGGCCTTTTGAATTTTTTTATGAAAAACAGTTGAGCGTTGTCCCAGAATAATCAATACCTAAGTGGTCAGGGAATTCACCTGGATGTGGGAAAGCTGCAAATAAGGCAGAGCAAGGACTTGAACCTGGGTCTTCCATAGTCCCAGGGAGTGCCATGACCACTGACTGGGCTATTGGCTATTCTGGGGTGAAACACTCTGGCTGTCTCTCCCTTCCCCTTAAATCCTGGGCAATAAACCTCACCAGAAATGTTTTTTTATCAAAACTGCACATTTCTGCAAAAAGTTTCAATTTCAATGAAAAAATATTGTATCGAAAAATCCGTGACCAGCTCCACTCCAGAATCCTTTGTATAGCTATAGCAGAGCTCTCCCAGGGAGGGGAAAACCGTCTTGTGGTCCCTCTTGCCTGAAGATGAATGATTGCAATAAGGCCATGACCCTCGTGATAGTGGCATCGTAAGCAACCACCCCTGACGACATCACAATCTGATCTCACACGGGTGAGAATCGAGTCATTCCAAACCAAAGTCAATGAAGTTACACACATGTACATTATGTTTAAGTCTGGCCCAGTGGGAGGTGGGGCATTGTGTTTGTACAACACCTAGGGCAACATGGTCCCAGTCCATAACTAGAGCCCCTGAGCTCTATGGTAATACAAATAAATAAATCCAAACAAACGAACCTAAAATCAGCCTACACCTAAAACTAGCCTCACTCTTTCCCAGGCTGTCTCCATTCCCTTGCAAGGTCTCCTTATTGTGAATGCCACTAATTTCACATTCTACTTACAAAGGGACCCAATACTGCAAGGTACTGAATGCCTCCGCCTCATTGGATCAGATTCTGATCTGATGTACACATATGTAACTTCACTGACTTCGGTTTGGAATTACTTCTGATTGACACCAGTGTGGGATTAGAATTGGGTTCACTGAGTTTAATGGAAGTTGAAGGCAGTTGGCACCAACCAGAATGCATTTAATACCATGCAGGATTGAGCCCAAAGTGCTGTTCACTTGCAACAAAACTCCTGAAACTGCCCAGTCAAAAAGTGAATTGTTTGCATTTGGTTGGAACACAACTTATACTTTGCCAGTGTTTTGCTTTGCTCTCTCTCTATTAACTTCCTCCTACTGCTCCTCTGACAGCCAATTATTTCAGCTATCCTTTAAGAAAACAGGACTTGCGCTATACTCAGGTAAATTTACTTGTAGTATGCTTAACAAACCATGTAACAGGAAAGCACCACAAGGGATATTCAAGTAAAGCACATCTGCAGGATGTGAAATCAGGGTCAAACGAAGGAATTTGGCAACTTTGTACGGAAATGATGATAGCAATTTTTTTTTTTAAATCTCATGCAGTTTACCCATTCAGCAGGGACACTGTTTCCTATTTCAAGACATTTCCAACCTACATATCTCCAGGCGATGTAAACACATTTCAGGATTTGGTACAGCTCGTTAAAGCGAAAAACTATAAACAAGGGCTTTCTAACATACCACTGCTAGTTCCAGCTAACTAGGAACTGGATTAACCATCCCGGCATGTGATATGCTGTATATGCTAGAAACAGCCACTAAGGGTAAACTATAGGATTCCAGTGATCTCAATCATGTACTAAATTTGATCTATGTCCAAAGAACCTAGAGCAATAAAGATTTCTGTATCTAGTTGCTAATTGTCTCACTTATCATGTTACATAGATGTAGAATAAGGCTTAAAAACCCTTCCAAAAGTTCCAAGATGGTTGAGTGAGAAGCCCAGGTGCTGCCTTCCTGTTACTAACAATATCCAAATATGTTTGCACTGATGCTTTAAGGAACACTTATGATGCAATTCCTGCATGCAGTGCCAAATGGTGCTCCTCCAGCCTGATGCATTCCTTCTCCCCTGCCACGCGTATTACTGTTTCCGTCAGTGGCAATCTGTAGAGTAGAGTGGTATCATGGAGGAGACTGGGAGCTGAAGGCACAGGCAGCGGCACAGTAGTGAGATGGAGGAGCCGTCGAGACCTCAGAGAGACAGTACTATTTCAAACAGTACTACGTCAATGCTCATGAGGGAACTTTTACTGCACACCACCAGGGTCCTCACGGAGAGTTAGTGCATGACATGCACTGGGGCACACTAGGATTTACACCCCAGCTGGTGTGCACTAACTCAACATGTAGACAAGCCCTCAGATTTCCTCAAAATTCGGCAGCCCTATTACTTAGATTTTGTGTAGAGAAGAAATGAGGTCATTCCATATAAGACAGATCTGAAATCTCTTATTTTGCCTCATCTTAACTTCAGTGAATGCTAATGATGGTTTGCTGGATTCTGCTTTTGTGTTTGATAAAAACCTAGGGAATAAATGAAAGCGCAAGATACCAACAAAGCAGCTCAGTTTTGGCCAGTGCTAAAGGGCCTGTTTTAAATGGTTACACTCTTTTCGGAACTCCGGTTGCAAATAATTGCTGAAGTTAACCAATGGAGGAGACAGGCTTCAGATACAAAACACTGTTGGCTTCCATTAATTACAAACCCAAGAATAAAACATGGTGAATAAAAGCAGCAGATAATGGCTTCTAGGAAACAATAGACTTTGCTGACCCGCAACTGGTTCGTTGGGATAGGCACTATCTGTGCAGCAGCGATGGAATGTCAGATTGGTTAACAGTAATGAAAACGGCTGTTAAGTGTCTTATTAATGTGCACTTGGTGATTCATAATCTCAACCTACATGTCCTTAAGAAGCCCTCAATTTTTAAGTGAAGTTGACAAATTTCCTAAATGTTTTTCAGATTTTATCACTATTTGGCAGCTAGGAAAATGAGAGGAAGTCTTGCTGCTGTGAAATAAAAGTTCAGCTTTTTACCTCACGTGTGATGGGGGAAGGGGATGGAATAGAAGGATTGTGCCGTACTCCTAGACATGATTAAGGACAAGATTTTCAAGAGCAACTAGTCATTTTATAAGCCTCAACTTTTAGGTCTCCAACTTGAAGAGCCTTAAAGGAGCCTGCTTTTCAGAAAGGGCTGAAAACCACCTGCTGAAAGTCAGGCCTCTTTAAGAGATTCAAAGGGGGGCACCCAATGAGCCACTTTTGAAAATCTTGGCCAAATCAACTACAGGCAAAGGCGATGAAGGTATCTCCCTGCAGGAAAACAAAGGACTTTGGGTTTCAGGTAACTTCCTTCTCCATGCATGCAAGGTTTTTAAGCAATTAAGTTATTTCAGAGGCACAATCTACTACTGTGTCAGGTTCAAATACTGTACAAGTGAATAAGTATGGCCCACATCTCTTAAAGGAAGCTACAGGGACAACTGAAGACAAGCACAAAGCCAGAGTAAGATACTAAGCAGAGGTCACTGCTATCTCCCAAACATGTGAGCAAGTCATTGGGCTGCAATACAGTCCTTCCACAGCAGCTGCTGCTGCCACCTGTAGACTAGAATACCAGCAGCTGCTGATCTGTAACAGGTTTTTATTGCTAAAAGGTGATGTCACAAATGTTTGCTTTGTTCTGGACACACTTTCATGGTGAACTGGCAAAGCATCAGAATTAGTTAGGGACCAAGAAATTCAGTTATTAGGATCCCACTTCTCTGCCCTGTGATTCTGATGATGACATGGCCAGGACTTTAATTAATGAGTGATGCATATTTAAAGTTTGAAGCCAACACTTCAGGTTGGGTGACCTTTTGGAAAGGGCATTTTCTAACTCAAAATTTCAAGCGCTCAGCAGACTGCTATCCAGAATAGCTATTTTGCTGGCATCTACTGCTTTGTGTGAGAGGGGATTCACTCAAAAACAAGCTTTGGGCATCATTAGAAACAGTAGCATAAATGAATTGATAATGATATCAATGAATGGGTCATCTCTCAAGGATTGTGATACAGATGGGACACTGACTGATGGAATTTTGACAGCAAAGCCACTCATCATATTGAAAGCCTGTCAAATTGAATGTCACATTTCTGTCTGAAAATGTACTTATTATTACAAGCAACCTCTAAATTTACTATCACAGCATTTAGACAAAATATGTATTTTCCTCCCCACCCTAGTGTGCTTACTTTGTGTAATTGAGAGCACTTTGTGTATAGTTATTTTCACTGATTTGGTTGATGGTGCACGCTCTTTCCAGTGGGAAGGGAAGGTGCTTACCCAATACAAGAGCAGCAGAGTACAAACTGAAAGTGAACTGGCAATAAGCAGATCTAGACAGGAAAAGATGGGCATGAGCATGGTTGGTAGCATGGCTCTTGGGATCATTCTAACAGAAACAGGGCAACAGAAGAATACAAGAATGGCCATACTGGGTCAGACCAATGGTCCATCTAGCCCAGTATTCTGTCTTCTGACAGTGGCCAATGCCAGGTGCTTCAGAGGGAATGAACAGAACAGGTAATCATCAAGTGATCCATCCCCTGTCTCCCATTCCCAGCTTCTGGTAAACAGAGGCTAGGGACACTTCAGAGCACGGTTTTGCATCCCTGACCATCCTGGCTAATAGCCATTGATGAACCTATCCTCCATGAACTAATCTAGTTCTTTTTTGAACCCTGTTTTAGTTTTGGCCTTCACAACATCCTCTGGCAACGAGTTCCACAGGTTGACTGTGCGTTATATGAAGAAATACTTCCTTTTGTTTTAAACCTGCTGCCTATTAATTTCATTGGGTGAAATTGTGTTCTTGTGTTATGTGAAGGAGGAAACAACACTTTCTTATTCACCGTCTCAACACCAGTCAGGATATAATAGACCTCTATCATATCCCCTCTTAGTCGTCACTTTTCTATGATGAACATAGGATCATAGAATCATAGAATATCTGGGTTGCAAGGGACCTCAGAAGGTCATCTAGTCCAACCCCCTGCTCAAAGCAGGACCAATCCCCAACTAAATTATCCCAGCCAGTGCCTTGTCAAGCCTGAACTTAAAAACTTCAAAGGAAGGAGGTTCCACCACCTCCCTAGGTAATGCATTCCAGTGCTTCACCACCCTCCTAATGAAAAAGTTTTTCCCCATATCCAACCTAAACCTCCCCCACTGCAACTTGAGACCATTACTCCTCGTTCTGTCATCTGCTACCACTGAGAACAGTCTCGATCCATCCTCTTTGGAACCCCCTTTCAGGTAGTTGAAAGCAGCTATCAAATCCCCCCTCATTCTTCTCTTCTGCAGACCAAACAATCCCAGTTCCCTCAGCCTCTCCTCATAAGTCATGTGTTCCAGTCCCCTAATCATTTTTGTTGCCCTCTGCTGGACGTTTTCCAATTTTTTCACATCCTTCTTGTAGTGTGCGGCCCAAAACTGGACACAGTACTCCAGATGAGGCCTCACCAATGCCAAATAGAGGGGAATGATCACGTCCCTCGATCTGCTGGCAATGCCCCTACTTATACAGCCCAAAATGCCATTGGCCTTCTTGGCAACAAGGGCACACTGTTGACTCATAGCCAGCTTCTCGTCCGCTTTAACCCCAGGTCCTTTTCTGCAGGACTGCTGCCTAGCCATGCAGTCCCTAGTCTGTAGCGGTGCATGGGATGCTTCCGTCCTAAGTGCAGGAATCTGCACTTGTCCTTGTTGAACCTCATCAGATTTCTTTTGGCCCAATCCTCTAATTTGTCTAGGGCCCTCTGTATCCTATCCCTACCTTCCAGCATATCTACCTCTCCTCCGAGTTTAGTGTCATCCGCAAACTTGCTGAGGGTGCAATCCATGCCATCCTCCAGATCATTAATGAAGATATTGAACAAAACCAGCCCCAGGACCAACCCTTGGGGCATTCCAATTGATACCAGCTGCCAACTACATATTGAACCATTGATCCCTATCCGTTGAGCCCGACAATCTAGCCAGCTTTCTATCCATCTTATAGTCCATTCATCCAGCCCATACTTCTTTAACTTGCTGGCAAGAATACTGTGGGAGACCGTGTCAAAAGCTTTGCTAAAGTCAAGGAATAACACGGCCACTGCTTTCCCCTCATCCACAGAGACAGTTATCTCATCATAGAAGGCAATTAGATTAGTCAGGCATGACTTGCCCTTGGTGAATCCATGCTGACTGTTCCTGATCACTTTCCTCTCCTCTAAGTGCTTCAAAATTGATTCCTTGAGGACCTGCTCCATGATTTTTCCAGGGACTGAGGTGAGGCTGACTGGCCTGTAGTTCCCCGGATCCTCCTCCTTCCCCTTTTTAAAGTTGGGCACTACATTAGCCTTTTTCCAGTCAT